TTCAGACGGGTGGTCCGATGAGGTCTGCCTGTCAGTTTTTCGGACGCACCCGATCGGATGCCCAATGTAAGTCTATGGGCAGCTGGATCTAAACAGATAGGCATCCATTTACATCCGGTTGCCCTGAGCACCGGCCAGGTCTGGAAAAATAAACGGAATAGTGTTCCGTTTCACTGGACCTGCTCGTGCTGGATCAGGGTTAATCTGATGTAAATAGACACATGCCCATTTACATTCGATTCCCCAACATGGGGTCCGGTCATTTCATAGCGGTGACATCTGATCTGTACCCCTCCGATCAGGATCTGTGCACAGACCCCCCCCTGGTCAACTGCTAGCTCCGCCCAATTGTTTTTCTTTTGCTGGCATCTTTTTTTAAATTATTTTTAACTTTCCCTTGTTTTTATTTTCTTTAAACTATTTTAATTTCTTTTTAATTTTCGTACATTTTAAAACAATTTTTCAACTTTTTTCTTTATTTTTTTAAATTAATTTCACTTATTTTCTATTCTACTCGGTACCGAGCACAATAACCAAATGCATTTGGCTATTCACTCAATGCCGTTTGGCCCCTATGAGAATATATGAGAATAGGGGTGAACGGCAGCGAGTGAGCTGCCAGAGCTTTGGTTCAGTCAATCCAGATGTTGGATCGGCTGAGTCCAACTCCTTCTACTCCTTCTCCTTCTACACCGAAGGCTGCCGATGTACGGCTGATGTTAGCCGATGTACAGCTGAAATCAGCCGCACTGAGGAGAAGTGAATAGCTGAACAGAGTTCAGCTCCCTTCACTTCGGCTGGGTTATTCCCTCGGCTGCCTTCGGCAGCTTTGTGAATAACCCTCTAGGGCAGCGGTTCTCAACCTGTGGGTCGGGACCCCCTCGGGGGTCGAATGACAATTTGCCAGGGGTCGCCGGGAGTCAGTGGCATAACAACGGGGGCCGCCGGGCAGCGATAAGCGGGCTGGCCGGGAGGAGCACAATATTGAAACAGGCAGACCCGGCGGTAATCATGTAGTTGAGTGGACTGGGCTCCGGGCTTTTGCTGTAATGATCTTAGCTCCGCCCCCTGTGCTGACTTTGGTGCCGCTCATCCCACACTGTGTCTCCAGCTGTCCCCCGCCATGTGCCTTCTCTGGAGCCTCACACTACCTCCTCGGGGCCACTCTCTGCATTGTGGGAGGAGCCGTTCTCTCCTCTCTGTCCTCACTGCCTCCTGGTCCCGAGCTGCAGGTACTAGTCTGTGTGTGTGTGTGTGTGTGTGTGTGTGTGTATGTGTGTGTCATTGTATGTATGTGTGTCATTGTATGTGTCACTGTGTTTGTCAGTGTGTCATTGTATGTGTGTGTGTCATTGTATGTGTGTGTGTCATTGTATGTGTGTGTGTCATTGTATGTGTGTGTCATTGTATGTGTGTGTCATTGTATGTGTGTGTGTCACTGTGTTTGTCAGTGTGTCATTGTTTGTGTGTCATTGTATGTGTGTGTCACTGTGTTTGTCAGTGTGTCATTGAATGTGTGTGTGTCTGTCACAGTGTTTGTGTGTGTGTGTGTGGGTCTGTCCCTGTGAGCTTGTAAGCTTCATCAAGTCCTAGTGCCCAATTCATATGTTTCTGTGTCTTGTGCATTGTGTGACGTGTTGTATATCACTGATAGATATACTGTATATTGTATATAATAATCCAGGTCAATAAAAGAGAGAGAACTTTCCTGTGGAAGGTTTCTACACTGTGGGTCGCTGTGTGATTTCTGCTGTGCTAGGTGAGAGTCCTTCTCAGCCCTCTCCTAGCACAGCAGTGTCAGTTCTCCCGCCACGCCGCCAGATGTTGCTGCAGCAGCCCCGTCATCCCTAAATTTTACCGTTGGGGGTCACCACAACTTGGCAAATGTTACCAAGGGGTCCCGGCCCTAGAAAGGTTGAGAACCACTGCTTTAGGGTTTCTACCTCAGTATTATAAATATTGTTGTGTCTTGTATATGTGTCTTGTATATGGAGAAGGAATATGTATTCAAGTATGCAAGCTTGCAGGTTTTAATATGCTACTTCCCTTGACATGCCATCTTCTGGTAGAATCTAGAACATCAGTGAGACTGTGAAAAAACAATGTTTTGTATGAGGACTGTTGTATCTGAAATGGTCTGTCTTCATGCTACAAAGTACTATGAGCAACAGTGATAAGTCTATCAGTCAAAAGTCAAGAGGTATTCATTTTCCAGAGGATAAGTACTCCTTGTCCCATTTAGCAGTGGCAAGTGGACTTCCCCTGTGGCCAATGCTGGACACTGTTGAACCGGCTTCAAGTATTTATACTTCATTTCTGTGTCTGCAATAAAACGCCTTTGCTTTATTTCTCCATGTTTAATCTCTAGTGAGATATAAAAGATACAGATTACGGCAGCTCTGCCATCATTAATACATTATTAAATTTATTTTTAAATGCAAGCAATGTACCTGAATTTGACCAGGCATCAGCCTCTTGCAATCCCTACACAGCAGGGCTGGAGTGTGAGAGGAAGAAGCAGCACAAGGAGCCAATCAATTAATGTGCTGACAAGAACTATGCTGATAGGGGCACAAGGAGCCAATCAATTCACGTGCTGACAAGAACTATGCTGATAGGGGCACAAGGAGCAAATCAATTCATGTGCTGACAAGGACTATGCGGATAGGGGCACAAGGAGCCAATCAATTCACGTGCTGACAAGAACTATGCTGATAGGAGGAGAAAGCAGGGACAGAGAGATGAGCTCATCACTGTGCTGCTTTACCTTTCACTGTCCAGTATTAGGCTGGGGCAGGTTTGTGACCTGGACTCTAAGGAAGTGGGTTGAATGATGCTGGCCATCAGGCTGAGGACATCCAGTGGCAGAAAGAAAATACTGTGGGGGAAACTTAATAGATGGAAGCCTATTCATTGTTATATTGCTTTAAAATCTCAGTAGTAAGGGTATCCATACACTGATCCTTTCAAGCAATTTGCCCTTTTTCAGGCCTTATGTGCATCAATCTAAGAAGGACAAGGTCAGGACCGGACCAGAGTGATGTGATAAAAGCACTTCCGACAATCAGAAATCACTTGTGATACAGACATTTAAGTGGAAAATGTCTGCCTTTTTTTCCTACAGAGAATGAGTATTCATTGCAAAAGTACCACTCACCCCTGCTGACTAAGTCACAGGGAAGATTACATTGGGTTCTTGGTCCTTGCTCATTATTCTTATTGAGGCATTTGTTCATCTATCTTCGGAATGGCTTCTCTCCCTATACAAGTCTATGGGGATGAAAAGCAGCTTAGGGAGCTCCTGAGTGGCACCTCCAATGAATTCTAAATGATCTCAGTAGTTACAAACGGATGTTAAAAGCTTGCTGCATTTGCCCACCAAACCCTTGACTCAGGCCCTAATGAATGCTTTAGTGCAGTTTTTCTCAACCAGGGTGCCACAGCACCCTTGGGTGTCTTCTGGCTTTGCAAGGGGTGCCTTCAAATTTTTGCCCAGTATTATGCATTTCTATGGTGCAAGCGAACTGTCCGCCAGCACCATGACTATGCATTAGGCTAAACTAGGGCAGACTGCATCCAGGACCTCCGCCAGCATTCAACCACAGCCCCACTGGTGAAGATTATGAGGTTGGACTTTGATATGATGGGGGGCTTTTGGTGTAAAAGGGACTCTGATGGGAAGTGGGGAGACTCTGATGGGAAGGGGGGCTTTTGATGAGAAGGGCGGACTCTGATGGGAAGGGGGCTGCTGATGGTAAGAGGGGCTTTTGATGTGAAAGG